CTGAATAGTAAAAAGAGAGAATAATATCTTAGCATAACTTTTTTTGAGAGCTGTGGTCATGAATCAGATAATTAAAAATGAAACAATTTTCATGCAGCAGCATGCTGCAATCTATAGACTGAAAAGTGTCTAGGAGGATTAAAAAAAAAAATCAACTCAGAAGTTTCTATAAAAAAGCTTTATTTTTAAGCAAGGTTCCTTTTTAGAGGGAATAAAAATACTAACATATCTGATGATCTTCCTGTGGCCTTTTGGAAGTGTAAGCCTTATTTTGCACTTCTTCCCCCTCAACTTCCATAGTATTTCAGCTTCTTCTTAAAAGCTTTCCAGAATCCAGTACTTTTGAATGGTGCTATAACCTGAAAAGGTAACTAACTACATCAAAGAAAAATACTGAACGAAAATGTAAAACCCACGTGCACGGTCCACACTAGGCATGCTCAGTCTCGTGTGTGCATCAGCAGTGGTTATTTTTTTTAGAATAGGCTCATGCCTGTTGCTTTATTTGGTCTCAAAACTCTGAAGAGCTCAGCAGCTCAGAGAAGAGGTGGTTAGTTCCTTGGCTTAGCTGGCATCAAGGAACACAAGGGAACTCTGCACGTAAATCACGAGACATTGGAATTGACTTCTTGTAAAAGATTTTTTAAATCTTTCGCCCATATCTGGTTGTGGTAAGTAGCCTTTAAAGGGAGCTTCTGAAATAGCCTTTGTATTTATTCATTCTATGCGTCACTAGAAGAACTTGTAAGTGTATAATGCATAGTGCACCTCTGCCACAAGAAAACAGATCCTGGGTAAAGACAGAATCAAAAGACAGGAAAATTACTTAAGTGACACAAATTACTCTGGACAAAATCACAGTCAAAAGTGGCACATTTAACAGCTGCCTATTCATGGAGTAACATGCATTGCCAACAGTAAAATCTTAAGAGGTCTACAAGATTTCTACAAGAAAGACCAAAGAATGCTGGAGATTAAAGTATAAGCAACATAAATGCCGAGTTTTGCCTTCATGCTGAGAAACCTGCCCTGCTTCCTTTCCCAACCCCTGCCAAGATAACTATTACTGTCTCTATCAATTCTGAGCAAACCCTGGAGCCCTGTATACAAGTTTTATTTGACCAAATTCAGCTGCTTGCTATAAATATGCCACTGTTATATCCATGTACCACACAGTTCTGTTTAAAGTTCTCACAGAACATGTGCCACTTACCCGCAGGGAAGAAAAACAAACCACAATCAAAACAACACACCACCCTTCTTTTTTTCCCTCACTACATTTTTACTCGTGCAACAAGAAGAGACTATTCACGAGTAGTATTAGTCATGACTCGAATCAAGCTGGTATAATTTCAGAATACAACGGGGAACCTAGTGAACTTCTAAGAGGGTGCACACTGGAACAGAAAAGGGACATGGGATATTTGAAATACTACACCACATTACCACGTCTCACTACAGGGATAAACACTGGCCCAAGGCTGATATTTGCTGCAATATTTTGTTACTCACTTCCAGTATTTTGTTTTTGATACCAGCGGGCACCCTCCCAAGAAAACTGAAATCTTCTTCCTTGGAATCGACAGATTTCAAAGAAACACTATGCAAGCACTGGCTAATCTTCCTCTCTGTAGTTACAAAACCCCATGTTGAGGATAAGAGAGAGGCAATTGCTCTGACATAGAATTTAAGTGTAAAATAAAGAATCAACACTACTGCTTTAAAATATTTGGCAATAGGGTAAAAAATATGTTTTAAGCCAAAGGAAGCTTTCCTAACAAAGACACAGCAGGCCATCTAACTCCAAGGGTGTGCATATTTGTTTCAGATTGAAGCAATCCCCAATATTCCAGGCACATATTTGATTGTAAATGAACTTTCTATCTAGACACTAAAGGAAATAAATTGCCTATACAGAAAGCTTTATTCTAAAATTAAAAAAACCCCTAAGAACAACAAAAACCCAACAAAAAGAAGCCCTAAAAGTTCAAGATTCAAATAACTAAAGGAAAAACAGTTAAAAAGAAAACATAATTTTCAAACCAATAAATAATATATTAAAACATTAAAAATATAATTTTACTGTGTACTTATTCCATGAAGAGAGACTTTTTATAGCAGTTTTGTTAAATATTAAATTGTCTTGTAATTTTGATAATTTTTAGAAATCATAACAAAGGTAGTTTATTCGTTTTCTGAAAACTCAGTGGGAGATGCAAAACTGCTCACATCTTGCAGTAGTTCAAATGAACTAGTCACAGGAATTTACCTAACTTTGCTGATAAAAAACTCCAAAGAACCCAACCACATGAAAAAACTTCACTGGTTTTTCTGTGTGATGTCTGCAGATGGTAGCAAAAGTAAGAAGAGAACATTTCACTGAAGTAGTATGACTCAAAACATCTTGAAGGTAAAAGCAAGCCAGCCTTCTCCAAAGTCAATAGGAACTGTTAATAGCTGCACAGAGCTAGGATTTCACCATTTTTGGAGAGGTCAGTTAAGTGAACATTCACAAGTAGGAGAAGGTTTATTCTAGTAAACCAAAACATCTGTGGTTAGTAAAATTGAAGCAGATTTCGTACCTACATTAAAAATATGTTTCCATTTGTCAACTTGTGGTTTTAAGTACAACTCGGCAACATTCTGGGAAATGAATGATGCAATCAACACTTCCAATAGAGAAGGGGCTAGACAGCATGTGATTTAATAGCAATAACATACTTGAAGCAAACAATTTAGCTAATACATACCAGTGAATGGGAGACTGCTCCTTTAAGGATTTTTGCTGAAAACAAGAGGAAAAGCAAGATAGACAAGCAGTTAAACTCAGGATACTCCCAATAATACATGGCAAGTAAATACAGTCTTGTAAGAACTCTGAATCTCGATTTGGATTTCGGCAAAACACAAAGACGTTTTGGAGCAACTAAGGTCTGATTCTAAATTTCCTTCACCAAAAGGAAACAAATCCTTAAAGAACTTTCTGTCTTTCCTGTGTGAATGGGGAAATTCACAGGAAAACCTCCCAGCTAGTGTTAGTGTAGACAGACTGTTACTCTTACATAGTCTCAATAGAAATGGGCTTTTCCCAAAAGAAAGTTAGGGATGGAGCTCATCCTTAGATTGCAAATTGACTTAGAGAGCTGAGAGATCTAACAACTTTAATTCTTTTTCCTTTTATCCTTTATTTCCTGCCAGGCAGGAAATGAACAGATACATTTCTGAATCAATGGGGAGCTACTGCAGATTTTCACAGCTGAAACAGTTTTATGGCAAAACAGCCTAATTTATTTTTCGCTTGCATGTTTCAAAAGAGCTCTGCAAATTAAAAATCAAACTATGAAGTCAGAGAACTGGAAAGTATCTCTCTACATTCAGAGTTGCTACTGATTCCAATTAGAAACAATATACAGCATCGATACAGAGAAGAGACTTACAGAAACAAATTGGGAGAATTGCCAGCTTAGGTCTCCTGTTTATGAATTTAGTGATCATTTGACACTCAACTGTTTCTTTTCAAGAGACATGCACTTCTAGCCCAGAAAGCCAACTGTATCCTGAGCTGCATCAAAAGCAGCATGGCCAGCAGGTCGAGGAAGGTGATTCTGCCCCTCTACTCTGCTCTGATGACACCCCACCTCTACTGCATCCAGCTCTGGGGTCCAAGCATATGATGGACATAGGCCTGGTCCAGCAGGTCCAGAGGACCACAAGGATGATCAGAGGGCAGGGCCACCTCTCCTATGAAGATGGGCTAAGAGTGTTGGGGTTGTTCAGTCTGGAGATGGCTCTAGGGAGACCTTAGAGCAGCTTTCCAGTACCTAAAGGGGCTGCAAGAATGCTGGAGAGGTACTTTTTACAGGAGCATGCAGTGACAGGACAAAAGGGAATGGCTTTAAACTGAGAAAGGGTCAGTTTAGGTATTGGGAAGAAATTCTTTATTGTGAGGGTGGGGAGGCACCAGAGAAGCCGTGGATGCCCCGTCCCTGGAAGTGTTCAAGGCCAGGTTGGATGGGGCTTTGAGCAACCTGGTCTAGTGGAAGGTGTTCCTGCCCATGGCAGGGGGGTTGGAACAAGATGGTCTTTGAGGTCCCTGCCAATCCAAATAATTCTGTGATTTAATATTTAGTAGCACATCCTGATATAATAGATTCTCACCTGTTCCAAAAGGCTCATTCCTAGAGTTTAAATCTGTCAGATTTGTATTTCAAAATATATAGAGGATTTTCTAAATTTCTGGAATGCCACTAAATACATGTGGTACATATGATGATACTGTGTTAGAAAGACAGAGGAAATGGGAGATTTTGTGTCTCTGCACACAGGAGTAGCAAACTTTTGCACGACACTTAAAGACTTTTTGGGCTAGGGGATAATAATTATGTTCTCTTTATAGTGTATTTTTCCCAAAGGACACATTAACTTTATTCCTTGCTTAAAACCACTCACCAAGTGCTGGTTTGCTGACACTGCTAATTCCAAGACAACACTTCTCTATAATCTTTCACTTCCTCTTTCCACCTGCCCAAAATAGAAATTTACTTGCACAGTATCTGTTCTTAGCAGGATAGAACCTATATTTAAAATTAGTCTTAAATAGTTATTTGTCAGATGCTCAGGCCTACAAGCAAACATGTACTGATTACATAGAGAGATACAGAATCCCCTGCCCTGGGAAGTTAAGACCAACAGCAAAGTCATTCTAAAAACTGAATTATCGCTTGTCTTAACTGAAGAAAGTGTCAAATCCTGTAAGTTAGTGCAAAAAATATTTTTTAAACAAAAAACTGAAGTTCTTGAATAAAGATTCATTAATTTAGAGGGGCTGTTAAGTTAGAGTGCATTAACAGTTTTCTTTACGTTATTCCTCTTCAATGTCTTGGAGGGGCTGTTGACTTTGCAAATTCCTAGCCTAAAAGATGTGCTATTAGCAGTGACTTACCTTCAACCAAAGAGATTAATTTCAAATTAAAAAGTTGCATTTATAATGAAAACTCGTGTTTTATGAAATATTCAAAATTCTTTATTTCAGGTCAGTATTTTTACAGGCATCCATCTTTTCCTCCATGCTTGTACATGATCAAAGTCTAGCACTCCCAACCACAAAAAAAGTTAAATGATCATTACAGTATAGGCACAAAGTAGCCAAAAAGCTTTACTTTCATTAAGCAAAGCTGTGATTGTGCTCTAACAGCATTTATCATCAGTGCATAAACTGATTTCCCCTCCTAAAAGCAAGCAGGAAAGGGAAATTTCCCTTAACTGAAGGAACACAGATGGCAGCTCTGCTACTAAAGCAGTCACTTCGTCAGTGGAAGAATGATAGATATCTGGATACACTGGACACCTTTCTTCATTGCTTCCAGTCGCTCTTACTGGTTCAGGTGGGCTTGTTCAGAACTGGATTAAACATCTTACAGGGGTCCATTACTGCTTTCATTATTATAATCACTATCAAGGTTCCACATTTGAACAATCAACATGATTTTTTTAAAAAATAAAGCCATAAAACCCCCAGAAGTCTGTTGGTACTGCAGTTTTCTTGCAAAGACCCTGCTTCATAACTATTTAAAATCTCTTTCCTTTCTAGAAACATCAATTTCCTTTCCCCCAAGAAGGCAGCACCAGAGACACTTTGTATCACTTAAACACAAATTAACACAACTAGCGTATTTTACTGCATTTCAAACTTCCAGTTATAGTGGTAAGGTTAGCAATGAGCATATGGAATGAGTATCTGATACTTACATGTACCAAAGGCAAGTTAGTCACAAAAATCTCTACAAATATCTTACAAACAAAACCAGCAGCAAACTCTGCTATCATTACACGGTACTCGTTAATGAAACACGAGTGATTGGGCAGCCATCTGGAAAACAAGCTGATAGCTATGTTATAAAAATAGCAAAACAAATATTTGATCATAGTAACTGTATGAACAAGTGTTAGCAGGAGGGAAGTGAGCATGATTCAGTTAGCACAAACTCTAGTTATACAACAGTGCCTCCAAGCCACAAAACATGTAGTTTCAGTTTTACATTAACAACCAACACTTCAGTCCGACACATGCAACCGACTCTGGCAAGCTTGTCCAAAGAGGCAATGGAACATAATTCTACTGGTTCTTCAGGCCCATCCGATTGGCACGAGTGCCAGTCTTTGCTTCTGTATGACACTTGGCAGTGGCAAGGTGCACTACAGCTCAGAACAGAGGGAAATGGCAGAAGTGCTGCTGTCAGAGGTAATATTCAACACATACATGATATGTGTACAGTTTGTTTCTAGGCACATCTTTGGTTACATTCTCAGTACAGTCTGTTTTATAAAATAATAAATAAAACAGTCAAGACTTGGTTAAAATCCAGGCAAAGATTAAAATCGTCTTTTCTTTCAGAAACCAAGACAGTAGAAGTCCCTTTAAATTCATGTCTTGTTATATCCATAAGCGGTAAAATCCCAGTGCTACAGTAAGGCATGTAAATACTGAACCTGAAAGGAAATAAAAATGGGGAGGAAAATGGCATTAACATTGACATTAAATCATTAGCTCTCAGAACATCTCTCGTGTTATACTACAAAACTAAAAGTGCAACCACCACCCCTTCCCCATGCGAGAAAATAAGGATTTTGGTTTGCAACAATTTCAAGGTAGGAGGAGTCTAAAAATGACAAATAAGAAGGAAGGAAGGAAGGAAAAAAAAAAAGAATGCAGAGAAACTGGGCTGGAAAACTCTTGAAAGGTTGAAAGAAACCCTTACTTGCTTACCATTCAAAAAAAATCAATATGGCAAGTTACAGATGCAAAATGAGGAAATAAATAACAAGATTAATAAATCGCAGTCAAGTATTCAGCAAACAAATAAATGAAAGCCATCTTTAACAAGGGTTATCAGTTTTCAATTTTTAAAATTTCTATTTAAATGAAATCAACTTTTGATTTCTAGATAGAAACACAAAAGATTTTTGCCATTCTTTGCAATAGGAGCACTTCAAACACAATGCAAATGATTTTTAATTACTTTTTCTTCCATGTAGATTTCAATGTCTACTCTCTTACACAGATCCGAATCATGGCTCATCTACCACCACCACCTGCGTCTCCTAGAACAGTTCCATCAACGCTGTCTCCATACAATCCTAAACATCCACTGGTCAGATTATGTGACCAATACATCTGTTCTAGAACAGGCAGCAGTCACAAGTATTGAGGCCATATTACTGAGAACACAGCTGCGCTGGGCAGGGAACGTCTCCAGGATGAAGGACCACCACCTCCCTAAGATCTTGCTCTATGGTGAACTTGCCACCGGCTGCTGCACAAGAGGAGCCCCGAAGAAAAGACACGAGGACTCCCTGAAACAACATCTCAGCCTTGGCCATATTGATCAACATCACTGGTCTACTCTGGCCTCCAGTCAGGAGGCCTGGAGACACACCATCTATAACGCTGATGATGCCTTTGAGAACACTCTCGAGGAGAAAAGGTAACGCAGAAAGAATCATGTCTTGCAGAATTTACCACCTAAGGAGTCTTTCTGCTGTGCCTTTTGCAACCTGGACATGCCTGTCTCATATTGGTCAGCATGCTTGTAACAAACGTGGGTAGAGCCCTTCCCAAATCTTCGTTCGCGAAGCCCAGCCATGATGATGATGATGAGTAGGAATGGTAGGGAAAAGAATTTCTTCTCATTTTAATAAAGCACCTTTTACTTTCCATTTTATTGGTTCTCTCTAAAGGGTATGTCACAAATACAGCACTATGAATAGGCTTAAGTGATTTTACTTGTGACAAAACCCATTGTGAAAGAATAATCAGAAAATCTAAATCAGAAGAATAATTTTCTACTCATTTAACAGTAATGCACACTCAGTAGCAAAATGTCAACATATTAAAGTTACCACAGGCCATAATGCAGGCACACATATGCTTCAAGGCATATGTAAAAAGGGAAGTTTAAAGAATATGTAGAGCTGAACAGTCAGAAAAGCTGAAATGTTCCATTTTGCACATAGATCTCCATCAGATAGATGAAGAAATCCTAGTAATGCGCACAGCAGGCTGCTTTTATAAATTAAGTCAGGCACCGAAGAACTTTTTGGTCCTTGTTAATATGCAGTCTTTTAGATTTCTCATACACATTATTATTACAGTATAAAGCAGGGCAAAACCTGGAAAAAAGCCCATGCAAAATAAAGTTGCAAATCATAGGAAACTTTGGGTTAAGTACACAAATAAGGCTGCAAATCTTGCCTGAGACTATTTCAAGTATTTTTATTTTTTTTTAATTGGGGCCTTTATGAATACAGCTCATCTAGAGTTTGCCAAATATTTAACAATGTTTAACAGTTTCACCCTCAGAAACTATCAGATTCCTTACCTGCTAGGTACTTAATATTATCAAGTTTGTGTGATTCGAGCATTGTTTTCAGATCTGCAACTTCTGTATCTATTTTTCTGTCTGTTTGGGTCAGAGCCCGATCTTGCTGTGCATGCTAAAAAACAAAGCAACAAAATGATGTAATTTTATCACTTTCCAGTTTATTTAGAAATTCAACCCATCCCTTCAAGTTTTTTGCTTTCTCCTTAAATGCATGTTAATTTGCATTCAAAGAGAGTAAGTTCCTTCTTAGCTGATTATATCCAAGGAATTGAATAATTTGGTGAACTTGGGAGATTTGTGATTACATGGTCCTTAACACATAATCTAGAAACTGGCAGAACTGGATGCCTTCTTATCTCAATCTAACAGCATAAACATTAACTTAGTCTGTTGCTCGGCCCACTGATACTAAAGTCACTGCTGAATTTTAAGAGCTACTGAGAAGTCAAAGAACCTCTTGTGACAAAATCATACTGGAGCATAAGGATTTATGGATCATTAGAAAAACAGAGAATTGGCCTTCTATTGTAGAAAAGCATGTCTTCATCTTGTAATGAATTCTACCACAAAAACAGCTCCAAATTCAGAATCTGATTATGACAGAAGACAGGACTTCTGTTAAAAAATATGGTATAGAATTATTACTCAGAAGAGATTGAAAAATCCAACTTGTAAACTGAGAACAACAGCTGCTGAGCTGCTGATATTTTCAAATCAGCACTACTGAAACATTGTGAATCAGTTAATGATTTACTGCTAGACATAATCCCAGAAATAATTCCCTATACTACAGAAAGGAAACAAAAGGAAGTAGTAGTGCTTGGTAAAAACTTCCTCTAAAATGAAGACAAATCAATCTAACAATAAGTTTCTCACTGAATGTGGGGGGGAAGAATTAATTTCACATTAAGAGTAGAATTTCATCTAGAGAAAATATGACATGGATCAAGTCTCAAGACAAAGTGACTACTGGATAGTTCATATATACGTGCAGAAGGTCTAATAATATATACGGAAGCCTTTTTATTCTGTAGGCATTTACATTACAGTGCTTGAAGACATGAACAAGTCCAAAAAGAATACCAGGTCTATAACACAAGTACAAAAAGATTTGCTGTGTAATAATCAGCTATCAAGTTCTTACCAATTCCACTATTTCTGTCCTCATTTCAAGTAGTTTTCTTTCATTAAGCGAATACTAGAGGAGGGGAAAAAAAAAAGTTAAACATGATACTGTCCTTAAACTCCCCCCCCCTTTTTTCCACTTCTAAGTATGTTTATTTGTTTCCAAATTATGCAGAACACATAATCTGGACAAAACTATTGACTGACAACACTTGGGAGACAGCATTGTAGGATAACTGCTGTCCTTTTGAAAAGCACTATACAGACTGGTGTTCATCCACACCTCTGAAATGTAAAGTGCAACGAGTTCATCAGACACTCATCTTCTGCAAAAGCTACATATTAGTGAGCAGCTGGAAGACAGGCTGGCAGATTTGCAGTTCTGAAAAACAAGGGCCTATGATTCTAAACAGTAACTCTGGAACAGTTACCTAATCCATTGAGCATACAAGCACAACTAAGAGTGAACCACCTACTTCCTTCAGGAAGGGAGAACAGTTTTAAAATATCGTATCAAACTCAGTTATCAAAGAAATGTTTAGCCAGCACTGTATAACCCACCATTTGAGTTGTTCTGACCATCATTTAATGATATATTTGTTAAAACCAGAACATTTGTATTGCATGTTAAGCCATTAATCTGTGGATCCTCAGAAGGGGTGGCTTATTTTTAAGTTACAGCTATTGGGTTCAAGGAAAGTTAAACCCAAATTAAAGAAGCATACCTTTAAAGCAGGCTACCTTTCTGACTCATGAACAGGCATGATTTACCTTGACATCTATAATGGTTCCTGTCCCACTACTGGAGCAAATTATTCATTTATTATTAAATTATTCATAGACAGTTGCTAAACCAACAGTAAATGGCACAGAGTATTAAGGTCATCAGGCACCCATCTCAGAATCCTCAGTTACACAGCAATAACCTCATCTGTTGACATTCTCACATGGAAGTCACCTTATTTTTCCTCCACTCTGGAAGCTTATTTCGTTTTAATATTAAAATCAGATTAATCTACATAAGTGCCTCAGCATTGAAAAACCCTCATGAAAGATCTAGAGCTCTATTTGGATCTTTGACTGATCTGAAGTTGAAGCTAAAAGACAGCAGGCTGCTACAAATGTAGAAAATTACATAAAGAAAACTAACAGTATGTCTACAATTAATGAAAGAGTCAGTAGGTTCTGTAAAAGGAAAAAAAGGATAAAAAAAGAAATTCACGCATTTTATATAAAGCGACATTTTTTAAAGTGGCAAGATGGCAGAATATTTATAAAAGAATCTAATTAAAATTATGTTTTGGTAGAAATGTAAGAATTGGACCCCACATTGATAAACTGATCATCACTATCAAAAGAACCATGACAAAATAATTTTATGGACTGAAATAGTTCACCTGTTTTTCTTTAAACAGATGCAGTTAGCCAAATACACATCTTCTGAATAATTTATATTCTACAAACTTCTTTCTGGATGCTTCTTAAAGTTTTGTTTTGTGGCTGGAACTCTCTAGGTCAGACCCAAGGATTTTAATCTTAGGTTTAAGACAGTGAAATTGGCCTTTTACTGGAAGGCATTACAACACATTTGTAACAACAACAGTGCATTAAAAAACAAAAAAAGAAGGAAATACAAGGCTAAACTGCCCCCCCCCCCAAATTCAACAGGAAGATTTAAGTTCACATTTTTCACAGTGCAGAGAAAATTTATTTTTGTCAGATGCATCTTGAGTTTTTTAACACCAAGCTTATAGGCCCTGTGATGCATTAACACACAATAGATATGCATTTTTGTACTGTACTTCAAGTTTCTAAATCACATCTGTACACTGCAGATGTAAATCACAGCATAAGGAGATGTGCATTGAGTAATGTAGGATTCTGTGAGAAATAAAGAATAATTAAATAATAAAGCATTCAGAGTTTGAAACATTAAAGACTGCCCACATCAGTGTTGACACAGTAAGATTCTCTATCAGTACTTATTCCAAAGAAAACTGAACAATAAGAACATTTTACTTTGTGCTTCAAGTTAAAGCAATTTAAATGTTTTTCTCTTCTGAACAGTTACTTAGTAAGAATGCACAGTAACCTTCAATTATCCTGAGTTTTATTCTCAGAAAGCTGGATATTCAGTCCTTAGTCACATTACAATTGAAGTAAATATACCAATGATGCTCTGCCTACTATAGAAAATACCAGATAACGTCTCTTCCCCAACTCAGTGTATGCCTTACAACCTGCTCTGCATTCATCTGCCTTTTTCCTTTTCTGTTCATGCATGGCAGAGCTGACATTAAAGTGGGGGAGTGGGAGGAGTAAAAAAAGAGAAGAGCAGTTTCCATAGAAACTATGAAATTATTGTTGCACAACAGACTACAAAGTTGGTTAACTTTTTTAAGAGAAAGTTGACATGCATAGTTTGCTTTTCCTGCGAGGCAGTCAAAATAATGTTGTGTTCTGCACAACAGACAAGAGTCCAGATTCCAGGATCCTACATAAATATACAAGAAAACATTGGTGCCTAATTTATCACTGGTGCAGTGGTTTTATATAGGTCTTGTAAGCCCAAAATATTGCAAAGCTTATGATCTATACAAGGAGTACATTTCATACGATGCTTTTTTAAAAACAACAGCGTGAAGTATTAACCTTTAAACAAGAATTCTACCTGCTGAAATTGTACTTTATTCAAGCATCTACCATGAGCTAGCAGACTGTTAGTCTTTATACTGAAACAACACCAACACAGCTGTTACCTAAACTAATCACATGGAAAAATGTCAAGGGGCACACACAGAAGATAAATGACATCTACTTGAGCAGTTCTTATTGCCAGGATTGGAGATAAATATTACGTCTTCATTACACACCTGGGAAAAAGGACTGAATAAGAAATAATACTAATAGAAAAAATGTAATTAAAAGATCTTTCAATTTAGAAAATGCAATTTCATAGAGATCCTAAAAGTTACTGAAAAAAAAAATCTATGAGAACAGAACTCTAAATAAAGTGCTACAGATAATGCAAAAACTTGTTAAAATTCTACATCTACATTACTCTAATTTAAGATTACATCAATTCAGATCTACCAGATATTTCAAAGCTCAAAACAATCTGAACCAGCATCATTTACAATTAAAAAAATAATACAGGGAAATGAAACATCTTCAAGGATGATAAATTTGAGGAATGTGTAAACTTCATTAAGCCTGAAAACAGAGAGATCTACTAATAAAATAGAACACCTCTAGGCAGCCGGTCAACATGTTGAATTAAATAATATATTTAAGTGTAATGTGTTAATCCCAATATTAAAACAATATCAAAATAGATAAGATATATAAACCTAAACAAGGCACCTTGCACTATACCAGCATAAGGATGAATAACTTAGATTAATACCCTCTTGAAGCTGAGTGATACTATAGCTTAGTATGAAAATGCTCCTTGGGTGAGATGCTCTTACCCAAATTTGGAAATTACTCAGTGTTGACATGCTTCTGGAAGAAAGTTAACAAAACTTACCAGTTCTTTTACTCTGCTCTTCTCTAGGTTTAGGTTTAACTTGTTATCTGCTCGAACTTTGGTAATTTCATCCTAATGGGAAAAAATGATAAAGCAGCAAGATTTTCTGTTTAATCATAAACAGAAAGAATGAGATAAATATATTGTATCTTACTTTACATATCTCATTAATAAAGTTTCTCTCCAATTAGTGTATATAATTTTCAAAAGTATAAGTATTTCTAATCTTCCCCTGGGAAATACTGATGTTCTACTGTATGAGTTGGATCTCAGAATCAAAAACTAACAACTACTTTTAACACTGAAAACAGCACTTCATTGAGAACACATCCTTCTATAATTGCAGGGAATGTTTCCTGTATCCCGTAACTCTGATTTCTAGAAACCAATGCCTAGGTACACCAGTAAGTTGGATTTCTTCTATGAAGCAATCTTGATGCTCAAAATAACTTTAAAAGCAGTTTCCAACCTTCCATTGTAAAACAAAATCTGTTTCTAAAGACTACATCTAAGGCTTTCAGAAAAAGCTAGAGACATTTTAGAAGTCAGGAAACATTTATCAGATTTTTAAGCACCTAACTTTTAAAAACTACCATAAGCTGTACACTTGCATTTTACTTTATCAATAGCTGTAAGTGATTCCTGCTTTTCTCAGTGACACCTGCCATTTTAGTGCAACCTCCTGGCAGGAATTCCAGCCAGCTGACAGTTTGTCATGCAGCAAACTGCTGATCAGATGAATGTGTGGGAGAAGCAAAAGATGGCTGATGTTCTGGGAAATTCTAGTTCGAACCAGATAAGCATTTCTCAAGTAGGCCAATGTCTACTAGTTAAGAGTTGATTAAGTTAGTATGAACAATAATTAGATTCAATTTCTGTGTTTGAATTTTGAACTTGAATTGGTTCATCATTAGTTGTCATTGCAACAGAATACATTACAATTTAATAAATAAAAAATTAGAAATAATTTTTCTTGAACTTTTATATTGCCTTTTTGTATGAGCAAACATAAAACAACTTGCCCTTGTGAGAATTACATTTACAGTTAAAAGTAAAATTTAAAGACATTTAGCTTTTAAGAAAAGATGACTCAGATCCTTGATGCTCTACCAGTGGATTACACTAGCTCACTTACATGCAACTAAAACTCTAAAATAAGTTACAATTCAAAAATTAGATGCCAAATGCATTTTAAAATGGTATTCTGAAAACCCAGATGCATTAAGCACTTCATAACAGTGTGAAACACATGGGATTAGGCTTGAAAAATTTATGCTTTCCTTTTGGAGATGACGGTGCAAAAAGAAACATAAGAGAATAGGAAAGAAATGGTAAGGAGGCACTAAACTGAGTTTGAGCACACTGTCAGCTAGCTCAACAAGTCCAACAGTCTGATAGTTTCATGGAAAAATCCTAGGGAAGGAAGAGTGCTCCATCCTTTCAACTAAGAAGGACATCTCAGCAGCCAACAGCAGTTAGGTCAGATGTCTGTACTCCCTACAAACAGTTAATGTTTCCCAGTTTCCAATCTTAATCACTCTTTCCAGAATGTATGTTTCTGTGTAAAGCCTGCTTATGCCTCCACACCAATTGAAGTGACAGATTTAAGAGGATATTGGTTTTCATGGTAGAAGTGAAGTGTGCTTGGAGTGCTCTGCAAGACACACAAAGCATAAAGAACAGAAACAGCACTGATGCTTAAACCTGATAAGAATCTTGTATGATAACTTAACAGAGCAAGTTTTCTACACAGAGCCTGTTTTCTTGGAGTGGTCATTTACTCCCAAACAAATGGGACAAAACAAAATGGTCCCAATTGGTGGCCTAAAAAGGCCATTTAAAGACTATTTTAAGTTCTGGACAGTTAACTAGTAAGTCTTCAGAGAAAAAAACAAAACAAACCCAAAAAACCCTCAACAATCAGAAAACCACAATTAGGAAGTGCTGTAATTTTAAAAGCATGTTGCATTGTTAATGTAGAGGCAGCCTTAAATGCAGAACTTCACTCAGCCTTAACCATCATATGGCAGCCACTTTCTGAATCTGAATTAAGGACAGGTAAGTAAAAATGCCTTCACTTATATTTTTCTTCAGGCCTTGTACTACTCACAGTTCCTTGTCCCCATAAATGAAGTATGCATGAACTGCCTTTGCTGCAGCCCTCAGTGTACTATCAACAGCAATTTCAGTATCCTATGTATCACAACAACTAAGCACCACTTTGAAAATAAAACTTTGAAAGTAACACCTTTTATTTTTTCAAGCAAACTAGACAGGTGTTAATTCTTAATTATCTTACCATGACTTGCTTCTTTATCTGCTGGAGTTCAAGTTTTATTTTCTGGAAGAGTAGGAAAAAAAATGTGCACTTTATTACTGTATATAAAACCATATAATCTAGAAATCATACTGAATTTACATGATCAGTAACAGTGGCTATAATCCCTAATGTGAAAAGGCAGGCAAATCAAGCATGACTATGTCCTCAGTATGTGTATAGATACATACACATGCATGTTTACTCAGTACTGTGCACTTCCAAACAACAGCACAAGGCAGAAATTAGCAATGTCCCACTGGCTGCCCTCCTAACACAGCCCAGGAGGTTGTCGGCTGCTTTTGCCACAAGGGCTCATTCCTGGCTCGTGGTCAACTTGGTGTTTACCAGGATCCTTAGGGCCTTTCCTGCCAAGCTGCTTTCCATTTGGTCACCCCCAGCCTGTCCTGGTGCCTGAGGCTATTCTTCCCCAGGGGCAGGACTGGGCATTTCCATTTCTTCAGCTTCATGAGATTACTGTCATCCCATTTCTCCAGCTTGCTGATATCCCCATGAATGGCAGCACAACTGCCTGGTGTGTCAGCCACTGCTCCCCGCTTTGTATCATCTGCAGACTTGCTGAGGGTGCACTTTGCTCCATGACAAGGTCATTAGTGAAGGTGCTAAACCATCCCAGCCCCACAGTCATCCCCTTGGCTACAACATGCTTTTTAACATCATTAGAAAAAAAAAACAAGCAAGTGATAGAATAGCACTTTCCAAGATAGTGATTTTTTTACCTCATTTTCTGAACGAAGTGCTGAAAATTCACTTTTTTCCAAAATAATCATATCCTTTTTCACACCACCAATATGGGACATTACTTGCTGAAGTGCAATTTCCTTTAAAAGAAGGAAGAAAAACCTCAGGACATAGCATAACTATGATGCTTTTTCTCATCTGTGCCTACAAGTATGATAGGTTATTTTGGTACCCTGAAATTTTTAATTCAGCCATTTCAGGTTGATTATCCGAGTTTTCAGAAGGCAAGATAAAGTGACAGTGACAAAATAAGCAAGTTAAGTTCAAATGTTGGTAACATTTAACAAAATCAGCAGTGCTAACACAGATCAGAATAATTCAATTAATAACCTAGGAAACAGTTTCTTCCAAGTCTTCAAATTATTAAGCTAGCAAAGGCTTTAAGGGAGAAGTGTCTCTGAGCTAAATAAGCAAAGCTGGCTTTCAGACCAAAACTCCTCAGCACAACCATGCTCTGTAACTGCCTCCTTTTTTACCTCTCCCTGCAAGGGAGTCACTGTGTTTCACTTCTCAGAATCATGTGCTAATACTTTTAATTGCTCTTCTCAGTCCATTACACTGGACTGACAGAAGGCAAACAAAAATCCTCTGTAACTTTCAAGGATGGAAAAGTTTGCAGACACTGTTCTAGATCCTACACTATCCACACATGCAAACAGGGGCTGCCTTCTCTTCTCTGAAGACCTTCCTCTACTAAGTAGTCCCTTACTTTTGATGCTGGACTAAGAGCCCTACAAATCTGACACAGCACTCTAACTTCAGTTTTGTCATGAAATGCTATTCTAACTTACAGCATTGTATTTCTAAGTGGCATTGGAAGATGCCTCTCCAGGCTGACCATAAGACTTAGAAAAACGGGTCAGAGTACTGGACACATTAGAAAAACCCTACAGAAGCAGTGCTGCATGGACACCTCTTTTCTTACTCCCTGGTGTCTCCAGCTTGTTCTTGCTCTCTCTTGTCTTCAGTGAACTCAGCAAACAGAAAACAGAATCTTCCATATTCTTTCTCTTCTTCACCTCTACATATACACACACGTGTATCTGTTTTTCCCTAAGGTGTTATCTAACCAATGTAATATTTCATCTTTTACATATCCAACTATGGCCTAATGATAATAGCTCATTCACAACATTCCAAATCTTTCTTCCAATTCTTCATTCTCTTTTTGCACAAGCCCTTGTGCAATCAAAGACCATAAGGATATACAGGTTTATCACCTTGCCCACAGTTCATGGGCTTCCTAAGCTGCTGTACAAATACCGAATCTTAATGGCAGAAAGTCACCTGAGGGGTCAAATCCAACAGTCTCAGAAAACATCTACCACCAGCAGCAACATTTTAATTCAATAAAAAAAAAAAGAAAAGATGTTTACTTTCATTCAAAAAAGCTGGGCATAGGAGGCTGAGATTGCTTGCTGTAAACAACCATGGGAGAAAAGGACCCTCTAACATAATACATAGCAACACATATTTCATTAGCAAGCATATTAGACTTTTATTTACTTTAACCCCACCATTGTCTCTGATCTAACCTGCTGTACTTTGGTGACCATGTCCTTGTAAATCATATCCAGGTTGGTGTTCATGATTTTCACTAATGCAGATACAATGACCTCTGACTGCTGAGTAGTGAACCCTGAGCAAAACAAAATGCAACAACATTCAGAGAGAGATACAAATCTGGACAGTTTACAGAAATACCACTCGCTGATACTCAGCACCGAGGTAAAACAAATGCCAGTTATTCAAGACAATACAACATATACCTCTTGATCCAGCACTAACAAAAGAACACAACCAATCAGTACAGCCAAGTTTCCCCACCCCAAAATTACGTCTGTGACATAGTATGGCTGCTTCTGTAGCAGAGCACTATCAGCAGGATAAACACTGGGAGCTTTCTAGGGTTATTATGGAACATCATCTCTCACATGTGGCTACTTCCATGAGCAAAAATTCTGACCCTGAAAAGCAGATACTGAGTTCTTTATACTATAAAACTTCAGTGTCACTGAAGATATACAAAACTCAACTCAAAACAAAGCCAACTGCCCTGACTTTAGGTCTACCAGCTTCTGAGTGCCTATTAGAATAAACTGAATATACTGGCAACTATAGTAAAACACTGTCCCTAAAAACACTCTCACCTTTTCCACTTTGAAAATGCAGGAGTAAGATTGTCATGAGCAAGATTTAACCATTATGAAAAGAAACACTGGCAAAAGCACGATTGTTTCATAGTAACCAGCAGTTGAGCATCAGAAATCATACCTGAGAGGAAGCTGCTTTCAATAGCTGAGCTGACATAATAGTTTACTACCACCAAAAGGCTCCCTCTCCCCTTATCCCTCCTCCTGACACTTTGAGCTGGTGCTCACTCAGCTGTTCCATGAGCTCATTAAACTAGCATCTCAGAATACCAATCAAGCAAAAAAAACTGGAGAGGTGACCTCCCCTTTTCAGGAATGGAAAGCTGTTACAAGTCAATTCAGCTGTACTGAACTTCACCTTAAGGTACCTCCCTCCCACCAGCAAAAGTAATATAATCCATAATAATCTATTCCCTTATCTATGTTTTAGCATAAGAGCAGCCATATTTTATATGGCATTCTATGTTGTATCCTAAAAGCTGCATTTTACAAAGTAGCCCATATTCAATCCTATTGTGATACATTGTTGCATATTCAAAGTCCAATATCCTAAATACTCAGGAATCCAAAAAATACATTTTCAACCACTACCTTGAAAACTCTAGGGTTTTTTAATTCTCAGTTCTTAAAATTTCATTTTTCTTTAGCATTTTTAAGTGCCAGTAGGGTAATAAATTATTCCAAACAAAGTTGTATAAGCTTACTGTTTCCTTTTTGAAGAGAAGACAACCCTGTATGTTCTTACTCAGTATAGAGAAAAGCCCTCCAAAACTCCATAAAACTGAAACTGTAACATCGTGTGTCTAGGAAAAATAACAAACTTTGTAAAGTAAAAAACCACTCAGGACATGACATTAAAAACTGCTACTTGTTTCAAACAAATTACCATTTTCTTCCAAGAGGCATACCAGCGCATGAGTGTCAAAAAAAAGCCTCCTATTTCCCAGTAAGGATATATTCCCTTTGCTTTGCGAAGATGGTGATGCAGAGACGCTTACATCTGGAAAAAAAAAAAAAGTAAACCTAAGTTATTTTTAAAGAAAGAATATTTAACCAACGTGTTTGCTTTCCAGGAGTTTCCTTACTACCCCAAATGTTTCTCATTTATGACAAAATATTTTGTGTTGAGATTATCACAGCTTGCTTGGAAATGAAAAGGCATCCCACTAACAAGTTCTATGCCCTAGAGCTGGAAAGCAGAACACTTTGCCACTGCTGCCCTTCTGAGATGCCCTCCAAGAATATAATCTTCTAGGAAAAATCCCACCAAGGACTAGGGTCCTAAATCTGTTCCTTTACCGTAATCACCATGGCTGGTGGGAGCTGTGAGGGTTAAATCCACACACTGTTAAAGAAGCGAACCTTCATCACTTGCCCTTTAGACGAAAAATAATCACTCATAATTTGCCATTTACTGGTTTTGCAGATAATACTCCAAACACTGAATGCCAGATTAAGACAGGGAGTAATTTCCATTGGGAGAGGTGGTGTATAAACCATCCTGACAGAACGAACGCGAGGTGGGGCATGAGGTGATTCGTCAGGAGGCAGAATCACTTGGGTTGGAGAAGAGCTCTGAGATCATCGAGTCCAACCTTTGACCCCAAACCACCCTGTCAACTGGAACATGGCACTAAGTGCCAAGTCCAGTCTTTCCTTAAACACCTCCAGGGACGGTGACTGCACCACCTCCCTGGGCAGCCCATTCCACTGTCTAATCACCCTTTCTGTGAAGAAATTTCTCCTGATGTCCAGCCTGAACCTCCCCTGGCACAGCTTAAGGCCATGTCCTTTGGCCCTGCCGCTTGTTACCCGAGAGAAGAGACCGACCCCCTCCTGGTTACGACCTCCTTTCAGGCAGCTGTAGAGAGTGATAAGGGTCCCTCCATTTCTCCAGGCTAAGCACCCCCAGCTCCCTCAGCCGCCCCTCACGGCACTTGCGCTGCCACCCCCTCCCCAGCTGCGCTGCCCGACCTCCCTGTCCCCTCAGACGGTGTATTTCAGAGCGCTCACCCCTCTCCCCGCGGTGCCGCCGGCTCCCCGCCGCGCGCTCCCGCCGCACCTTCCCCACACGGCGCCGCCGCCGGGGCCGGGGGGGCGCTGCGGGCGGGCGCCCACAGTCCCGAGCAGCGACGCGGGGGGGACGGGGTCGCGCGGCGGTCACGTGAGGCGCCGTCGGGCCGCGCGGCCGCAGCAGCAGCAGCAGCAGCGCGCGCCTCCCGCGCTCGCGCGCCGTGGCCGCCTGGCCCCGGCCATGGCCCGCCGCCCGGTCCCGACCACGGAAAAGGGGGGGGAGGGGGGAAGGGCCACCGCTACTGGGATGCCATCGCTGCGCCACACGCCGCCCCGGGTGCCTCGCTTCCGCCGCAGGCGCCGTTCCCGCTTCCGTTCCGGCTCGTAAGTGAACACGGCCGCTGACGCCGCGAGCCACGGCGATAAATTCTCTGGCTCACGCGGCGGGCCGCGGCGAGAAGAGCGGCGCGGGCGCGGCCGGCCGGGCGCGGCCTCTGGGACGGTGCTTGCGAGGGCGGTGCGGACACGGCACGGCGGGGGTGGAGACTCTCCTGGCCTCATAATGAAGGAGTCGCGGGATCCTCAAGGTCGGGGGAGACCTTTACAGTCATGCAATCCAGCCGTCAACCCAGCAGTACCACCGTAACCCCTAAACCACTAAACCACATCACCCAGCGCCAGGTCCCGGCGCCTCTTAAACACCTCCAGGGATGGTGGTTGCACTGCCTCCCTGGGCAGCCTCTTCCAATGCCTGACCACCCTAACAGTGAACATTTTTTTTTTAGTATCTAATCTGAATCTCCCCTGTCTCGGTTTAAGGCCGTTGCCCCGTGTTATAGGTAAATGAAAATAGACTGAAGTATAGCAGCAAACATTAATTAAAGATTTATATAAAATGCAAATAAGCAAAACAGCGCACTGGGCTGCCGGGGAGACCCCTGCTCCACTCACAGCCAGCAAATGCAGTGGGCAAACCCAGTAATCTTTATACTATTGTCAGTTCCCTTTCCATAGTCACTTGTTATCCTTCTATTGGATCCAAGTTCGCAAGTCTGGATCTGGTTGGTTCTTTTCAGGCTCGCTGCAGTTGCCAGGTGCATTAGTTCATCCGTCCTTGAGGCCTAGTGTGTAGGCCTCTCCAGATGTTCATTTTAGATTCCCTTTATCGTACCCTTTGATCCTTGTCCTTCTCTTCGTTACTTTAGGCGTACACTTTTAGACAATATACAAAAGACTTATTCAGTAAGGCATAATAATTTGTCTTTTCGGCGTAAGAACTGCAAGCTGCAGGACTATCAGCCTATAATACTGACAGGTTAATTGCCCATTCTGCAGCTTGTAGTTCTCCAACCTTAACAGAACATTGATTACAATAACATATATATAGGAATATAACATGTAATATAATTAAATGAGTAAATTACTTTACTACTACTACTTATTACACCCCACATCCTCTCCTTGGTGCCCGCTGCCCTGCGGTGTGCTGGGCTGCCAGGAGTTAGCCAGGAATGGCACTGGCTCTGCTGGGCTACTCCAATCCCTAATTTTAGGGGGAGAAAATAGAGCATTTTGGCAGGGAGGTTTGTCCCAGTGCTGCAGGACAGGAATGATCCAGTGCCTCCTATCTGACCCCTGACTCCTTCCTGAGTAACGTTTCTCTTCCTTCTGGGCAAAGACAGATGTTCAGCAGAGAAAAGCGCATTTCATAGAATCACCAAGGTTGGAAGAGACCTTTAAGATCATCAAGTCCAACCGTCAGCCGAGCACTACCACTGTAACCCCTAAACTGCTAAACCAGACACAAACAAAACAGAGACAAAACCTGTTGCTCTGAAATGGGAATGAGATTTCAGGGCTCAAAGTTATTAACCAAGTAATGTGCAGCATTGGGCAACTCAGTGGGTCTGGGAGTCTGGAGCCTTAATCATTGAACAGTTACCCTAAGCATTAGAGTAGATCAACTGTGCTATGTGTTTGGTTCTGCCAAAAAGACATGTTTCCAGAAAATACAAGAAAAATCATATGTTTTCCTTATGGGCTGTTGTTAAGATACGTGTACTTAATGTTTGTAGGAAATTAATAGAAGAAATCAGTTCATCCCACTGATGTTTTCTCCAGGAAGCATTTATTTTAGAGCAAGTTGATTTTTTCTGTTAAATACATATTCACACACACAAAAAAAGCCCAAACCACCAAAAACCACTTCTTCCTACCAGAATCAATAATTACAATAAATCACTAACATCAGTAAAACAGATGGAATCATTCAGGTGTATCTATATAAATGTAAAGGTGAGTGACCCACCACAGGACATAGCAGTGCCACAGCAGCACAGCTTGTCATTGCAGCTGGGACAGTGCATCTACACAAAGCCAGCGTCTGCAGCAGCACCTCCCTCCAGCTGCTGTGGTGATAAAGCAGAACAGTAGAAGCCATGACTGTTTTTACAAAATAATCTATAAATATTACTCCAGTATATCGCAAAGATATTATTATATTCTCACACTATCCGAACAGCCATTTCTCAAACCACTTCCACCATAAACGTTCAGGGACGTCGGTCCCTGCACAGCTGTGTTTGTTCTCATGGCAAGTAAAAGCAGAAACTTATCTAACGTGCCTTGCATGTGCTTGGCTGTTGTACGCACATTGCCTCGCATTACCACGGCAGTAATGCTGACGTTCGTGAGCCCGCAGGCAGTTGTCTTTTTCATCTGTGAACGATTCAGAAACTAGTGCAGTGTATTTTCTTTGATACTTTCTTCAATGATCCCTTTCAAAGTCCTGTGCTTGCTATGGCAATTGAAAGGCAAAACTATGGCTACTGAAGTGTCTTCTTTTTTATCGTCTGCCACTCTGCATTTTGCAGTTGTCTTCTGTGTTTGGACACAATGGCAGATAATGTGTGCAACAAGTACCATACAGATGGAGGCTCTAACTGCAACTGGAGCCAGCCCATTCAGGGTCAAATGCGCCCACACATGCTGGTTATCACACAGTGCCCCTTTTCATCTTCTCTGTTGAAAGCAAAGTCACTATTATGAGCTAGAGAGACCTTCTAGTGCCACTGACTTTCTATCTTTGTGTCAGAGATCAACTTTTTTTCTCTTTCCAGTGTAATGTTGCCAGGTTAAGGGAGGTGATTTGCCCCCTCTATTCGACTCTCATGAGACCCCACCTGTAGTACTGCATCCAGCTCAAGGGCCCTAAACATAAGAAGGACATGGACTTGCTGGAGTGGGTCCAGATGAGAGCCATGAACATGATCATAGGGCTGGATCAGTCCTCCTACAGGAGAACAGGCTGAGAGAATTGGGATTGTTCAGTCTGGAGGAGAGAAGGCTCCAGTGAGACCTTATAGCACCTTCAAGTACCTAAAGGGGGCCTACAAGAAAGACGAAGAGAGTCTATTTACAAGGACATGTAGTGACAGGACAAGGGGTAATGGCTGTAAACTTGAAAGCAGGTTGGTTTAGATTAGATATTAGGAAGAAATTCTTTACTGTGAGGGTGTTAAGACACTGGAACAGATTGCCCATAGAAGCTGCGGACGCCCCATCCCTGGAAGTGTTCAAGGACATGTTGGATGGGGCTTTGAGCAGCCTGGTGGAAGGTGTCCCTGCCCATGGAGTGGAACTAGATGGCCTTTAAGGTCCCTTTCAACCCAAGCCATTTTATGATTCTGTGATCTTCCAGATCCCATTTGGACCTTTTCCATGTCAAAGATTGTTATGTACTAACCAGCAGGTAGATTCACTGAGGTCTGAAAGCCCCTTTAGTAGGCTGCAGTAGCTTCAGGGCTATCCATTTCAGTAACTGGGCATCAGGGACTAATTTCTGCACAAAGAGGCACAAATGGTGTAGTAGCAAGCCAGGAGAGGACAGGACAAACAACTTTCTGCTATCTCATGATTCTAGGTTGCTTAATGCTTGGCTTTAATCTAGCCATTGCCCCTTGAAAGCCATTAGGCCCTGCCCAAAGA